TGCCGCCATCTTGGATCCGCCATTTTAAATTTCAAAATTCTGAGTTTAGAATCGTGATTAGCGATCCCAAAAACTCCTTTGTGTAAATTTTTGTAAAATTATAACTGAAAGTTTCTTCAATAATGAATTTTGTTTATAAATAGGGCTGTTTTTTCGTCTTTGTTTAACAATATTAACAAATTAATAAAAGTTGTGGCACCAATTGACGTAAATTTCAATTGTATATCATCCTGTAATCGTAAAACAACAAAAAACTCAGGGTAAATTCATCAAAAACTATTCCAAATTTGCAAAAAATGCTATGAAAAAAGGTGGAAATACGTATTCCCACTGTGCCGCAAAGGGTTAAGTTTAAAAGAGTAGAGATTCTGTAGCCTACAGCAAGACGGATAGATTGATTTTGAATTTTTTCTATTTTGGATTTTAGGGAGGGGTCAGTAACGTGAAGTAGAAATAGACTATATTCGAGAGTGCTTCTTATCACAGCAGTATAGATTTTTAGGTGGATATGAGGGTGGCCGCCCCACCAGGTACATCTTAGAATTTTTAATAAATTTAAGTGTTTACTAGCTTTGCCAATAATGTATTTGGCGTGTTCGTTCCAGGAGATGTTATGATCAAGGAGGATGCCGAGATATTGTACTTATTGAGAAGGGAGTAACTGATGGGAGTTGAAGTTGAGAAAATAATTTTTGACATTGAGAAAATTGGCAAGGTTAAATATGATAAACTGAGTTTTTTCTGGAGAGATTGATAATTTAATGGAATTAAAGTAGCTATTAATTGAGATTAGACTTTGTTGAAAGATTTGTATAGAGTCTTGGATGTTGTCTTTGGCGGTGTAAATAATAGTGTCATCTGCATATTAAATGAGTGTAGAAACTAAGGGAGAAACAACTTCATGAAGACCTGAAACATAAATGTTGTAGAGCAAAGGGCATAAGATGCATCCTTGAGGAACATCTGTATTTTAATAAAGTGGGCCGTATAAATCTTTTTCGATTGTGAAAAGTATTTGCTTGTTAGTGATGAGGTTGTAAATGAATTTTGAAGGGAATGTTTATTTCTTTTAAAATATGGTTTAGGATAATTGGATCTACTTTATCAAAAGCCGATTTAATATCGATTAGTGTACAGCAGGTTTCGAGACCTAATTGTTTATTGATGTGTAATCAGTGATGAGGAGTGCTAGGGCATGTTGGCAGGATTTGGATTTTCTAAAATCGTATTGGGGTTCTGGGATTAAGTTATTTTGTTCTATGTAATGATTTAGTCGCATGTTGATTATTTTTTCGATTAATTTTAAGATACATGAAGCTAGAGAGATTGGTCTGAATTTGTTATTAGAGTTTTTTGGTATAAGGATGATAAGGAATTGTTTCCAGTTGGAGTGCATTATGCCGTTTTGAATGAATTGGTTGAGTAAGTCTAGTAGGAGTGATTTGAACATGTTGGAAGTATTTTTTAACATTTTGTAGTCAATTTGATCAAGACCTGGTGAAGAAGTATCTTTGGTAGATTCTATGGCTATTAAGAGTTCGTTTATGGTAAATGGGTCATCTAGGTTTTCTGAGTTATTTGAGTTTTGATTGTCAGAGGTTTGGAAAGAGTTGTTTTGTTCGTGGAAGAGAGGGTATAGGTTTAGATCATTACAGTGTTCTTGAGCAAATTTTTTAGAGTTCTCGGTTAAAGTCATGTTATGGGAGTAAGATTTTGTTTGTTTTATTCTAACGTTTTTAAAGCAATTATAGGTATCCCACATTTTTTTAATGTCTGTTGATGTTGAAAATTTTTCTCCAATGTATTGATGGAATTTGTTAATTTTAATTTTTCTTAAAGAATGTTCTACGTTTTTTTCGATGGTTTTAAGTTTTTTTAAATTAGAGTAAGAGGGATTTTTAAGTAATTCATTGCCTGCTTGTCGTCGTAATTTTGTTAATTGGGAGCAATTATCGTCCCATCAAGGGGCTTTAAGGGGTCTGACTTTGAAGTTATTGTAGATGTTAGGTTCGTGAGGTTGATAAAATTTTTTGATATCGGGGGGAGGGGGGGAGGGGTAGAGAGTGTAAGTATGTAGAATTATTAGTTGATGAGTGTTTTTTGGAGAGTTGATTGGTAGTGTGGATGCATAGGTTACTAAGGAAATTGTATTTCTGTTGAAAGTCTGAGTTATCTATTTCTTTTTTATATGTTTCTAGATGTTTAGAGATTGGTGCTTTATAATGTTGCCAGTTAATACCTTTTTGGTATATTTTATGAGTTAATGTGGTGGGGACTATTTGTATTTGTAGGAATAAGTGGGTCTGGATGCGAAAGTGATCACTGTTTATTCTGTCTGGATATACTTCCCAAGTACAGGAAGTGTATAAGTTGTAAGAAACAATAGTTAGGTGAAGAGGTGATGAGATCATGTTGGGGTGGGTGGAAAAAGGAAGATTTTGTTTGGCGATTGAGACATGTTCATGTTCAGGAGAGCGATAGTAGGTGTAAGTTCCATCTTTTAAAGATAAAAGATTGAATTCAAGAAGGGTGTCATTTAGATTTTCTCCTGTTTTGCATAGTTTGTTGGAGCCCCATATGAGTGATGAGCGTTGAAGTCTCCGGCAAAGAGTTTATATTGGAACTGCGAAGTAGAATTAAAGAACTGTCTCTATTCGCTTAAAGTGGTGACATTATTGTTGTTCGGAGGACGATAGAGTGAGCTAATTAGTAATTTATTTAAATTATTGTTATTATGATTATGGGAAAAGGAGTTGTTTTTGATTGGAATTGATATTGAAAGGGATGCTAATTTGAAGGTGGAGTGGTATATCTTTTCTTCTTGGAAAGGGATGTTATTTTTAATGAATATTTATAGTCCACCGTGTTCATGAATTTGTTGTGAGAAGTCATGGGTGATACCTGTTATTTTAGGATTTAAATTGTAATTACCACAAGGATTTATTAGTGTTTTTAGATGATCTTTGGGGTAAGGAGAGCAAGGTTTCGTTGTGTGGGTTGAGATAGGAGTGCTTTGTGGGTTTTTTTTGAAGTTATTTGAGAGTATGAGAGTGTGTGTTTATTTATATTGTGAAAAGATGATGGCGAGGGGGTGTGAAGGGGGTGATTTGAGAGAGTTGATTGGGAGTTATAATGATTTTTTTGAGATATTTCTTCGTAAGTGAGAGAGTTATGAAAATCAGGATAATTAGAAAAATGAGATTTAGATTTTTCTATTTCTTTGTATTCTGTTTAAATTTCTTGTATAGATTTGTTTTTTCTTATAGAGATAAAAAGTATTTTTTGTTCAAAAGATCTGGTGAGACATTTTTTATTTGTGGAAAGATGATTTTAATGACAGTTAAGGCAGGAGGGGTTATTTTTTTTGACATTGTCTTGGCAGATATCAGAGGGATGATTGTTTCTACAATATAGACATCTAGGATTATTTGATTTGCAGATAGCTTTAGTGTGGTCATATCGATAGCAGTTTGTGCATAGCCTTATGATGAGAATATATGTTTCAATATTAAGTTTAGGTAAATCTAAATAAATAGATGAAGTGTGGAATTATACGCCCTTTGAAGGTGATTTGGACGGTTTCGATAGGAAGGTATGTGGGTTGATTTGAATTTTTTTTATTTGATGTTTTTTTGTTAAATCTACGTATTTTTATGGGGTGAGTGCCTTTAAAGTGTATAGGGATATTTATGTTTTGAAGAATCTCTTCTTCGGTTAAATTTGTGGGGATACCTTTGAGTATGTCGTTTTTATAAACGAAGTAGTGGGGGACTATTGCTTCCAAATTATTGTTTTTTAAGATTTCTATATCATTTTTTAGCAGTTTATTTGCAATTTTCCTTTTATGGGTAATAATGATAAATCTATCTTTGCCTGAAGATTTAATTTCATCGAAGGCATTGTCTGGGAAAATGAGGATGAGTTTACCGGCTAATTGGACTGATTTAATAGTACTGTCGTTATGTTGTGATGATTGGAGGATAATTTTATATGGGGGCGGAATGTCGCTAGTGTATTCAGAGATTTTCGGTAGTTCTATTCTATGAGATAAATTGAGTTGGGAGGGAAGGTTATTGGGTGAGTTGTCTATGTGTGGGAGTTTGTGTCTGTTTATGTTCTTTGGAAGTCGGTAGGTAGGTGTGCGGGGTCTTTTTTTGTGTTTTTGTTCTTCTGTTGTGTTTGAGGGGTTGGATGAGTGACATTTCGGTGTTATCAATAATTGGTTGAGTATGTGAATTCGGAGGGGTGTATAAATTTATGTCAGGGGGATCCATATCATTAGGGTTGTCCATGTTGAGACTGCGTAAGAGCAGGTCCCGGAGGGCGAGCTCCTTGAATAACTCAGATTATAGGTTAGCTCATAGATATTTAAATTATAATTTATTTAGAAAGTATAGAATTGTTTTTGAGATGTTAGTTGAGAAGAAAAAGTCTGTTAGTAGTACACTGTCACTTTTATCTTACCAACAGATTTTTATTTAAATCAATGTAGTGAAATGAAATGAAATGAGAAGATGTAATGACTCGTGGCCAACGTACACGTTTTTCCGAAAACTTCTTGAAATTCAATAAGTTATGCGCACGCGCAGTGGCGCCTTTTTCTTTGCGACCATTGAATGCGATTCTATAATAGTTATTTAGAAAAGAAAGAATTTTGATACGAGAAAATTACGAGCATTAGAATAATATTTTCAGAATTAAGAAAAATATTATTTTTATAGAAGAAAGAAAAGATTAAATATTTCCATTTGCAACCGCGTAGTCATTGAATATCTTCTTAATCAATCGATCAAAGATTGTGAGTGTGGTATTTTTGAAATAAGTATTTAAAATCTTTTCAAAAACAATTTTTTTATAAGCATTTAACAATTTTGATTACTAAGTTGATGGAGCTCATTTTGGCTGCTTAATTGATGTGGGTGGGGAAACTTCAGATTTAATCTCACCTTGAATGTTTCAATCTTCCTGCAATCACCCTTAAATTGAAATGAAAATTTAAATTTCATGTGTTTTCATTTGTCATTGTTTATTTCTCGTGTGATGAGGGAAAATACATTTATTGAATATATAATTTCACATTCGTGATCGATACGCAAAAATTAAATAAAATATGCTCAAAATTGCTAAGAGATAGAAATTGATAAATAAGTTCTTTAATGTGAAAAGTTAGAAAAAGTTGTTTTATAAAATAATGTATATATAATTTAAATGCAAGGTCTGAGCTCTTTATCTTCATTTAATTAAATTTTCAATATTTCAATATATTTTTTATGAAACCTAAATAATATGCTTTTTAATTATTATTATCGTACTATATAGTATTTTTTGCAAACAATTCAAGTATTGACATTTTTTAATCTTTGAAATCGACTTACATGATTTTCTACAACATTAACTCTCACATAATTTTGCATTATACTATGTATTATTACTATATAAGAGAGTTGTTATTTATAATAGAAATTAATTTATAGGTCTTCTAATGGAATTTATTTTTAATTTGTTAGAGAGAATTTGATATGTTGTAATATAATTCTATTCATTTTACTGTATAATTTAGTAATTTTATATTTATTTAAATTATTTTTGTTAGATTAAACTTTGCTTAATATAAGGATCAATGGGATCGATCCCATGGATCAATCAAGATCTATGCGCATAAAGCCAATTTATTATTACGGTATCTATACTTTATCATGAAATCAATATAAATTTGAAAATTACCATTATTTTATATTCTTAAAGAAATCCTATCTTTATATTTTTTGAGTTTCGTGATATATCAGTGATAAGATTTCATACTAAATATTTGATTTATTTAATATATAGTTGGTTGAATTATTTATAATTATCGTTTTCTAAATTATTATGTTCCATCGTGGTGATTCTCAAATCATGTTCAAGGAATTGACCATAAATATATTACTAAATCTTTTTTTAAAATATTAATACAATTATTATTATTATTATTATTATCATTATTTTTATTATTATTATTATTGTTATTATTATTATCATTATTATTATTATTATTATTATTATTATTATTATTATTATTATTAATAGTATTATTTCTTTTTTATTATTGCTGTTACTACTATTATTATAGTCTACTGTAAACTTAAAGTCTATTATTACTAATAAACTGAAAGTTTATTATTACGGCTTTGAATAAATTTGATTTGTATATCCATTTCAATACTTTTTGAATACTTAAGTCTAGCTAAACTTAACTATTTATTTCAAAACTTAATGAATATATTTATGGTGTATAGTTCTTTTAGGGTTATTATCTATCTTAGTGATAAGGAATCATTGTCAATGAAAAGTTCTAATTGACATAATTTTTTGTCATACTAAATTCCTTTTTTTAATTCATTTTTGAGGAAGATACTTTAATTTTTGCAAGAATTTCGTACATGAAACAAGAAAATTTTGATCAATAATTTAGAATATGTCATTTCTTATTTTTTACTAAAGATATGTTGCTAAAAACTCAAGATCGGCCTTCTACATTTTAATGATATGTTGTTGATCCAGATATTTTTAATATTAATGAAATAAATTTTATTAAATTTATCAAAAAGTTGATTGTAAATAATAATTAACTTCAGCCAGTTAAGAAACGACATGATGAATGATTATGAACGATATGATCAATCATTTAAGAAATTACATGACTTTTTAAAGTAATGAATCATATGATATTGTGAAGTGTCATAAATTTCTCCAAGCATTTGAAATTTTGAGATAGCACATATTTGCAAGCACGCGCGCTTTCCGCGCAGTACATGTATAATGTATACGAGTTATAAATTTTTATTTTATTACATTTATAGTAGTATATATTTAAGTAAAATAATAAATTTGAAAATGTTAATTATCATTTCGAAATAGTTCGTAGTAAATGTAATTTTTTATTTTTTGTTTATTCATATGATTTCCAAAAATTATTTTAATAGGATTCCATAACCTATGCCGAGAAATATAATAATATGTTACAATAGTCCCAGGACTGTCCAAAAACTCAAATGGAACGCGTTATAGGGGAAAAAGTTTCAGATTTTAGTCAAAGTTTATATTTTTGTCATTGATAAACTTGACGATGATCTTAATTTTGACTACAAATTTATTTTTCAAGTTAATTTTCTCTTTTTTAAATAGGAATCCCTACTTCTGACCTCCAGATTGAAATCAGCAGAAAATTTTACCTTTAGATGATATTTTATGTTGGAAGGACCCTACGTAGAATTTTGTTAAAAATTAATAAGTTATATCAGAGGATGTTATAACGGAATCGTATTGAAAAAAAAATTAATTATTGTTTTCCTACATGTCCTGTAATTTTAATAAATTGAAAGTATAAAAATATTTTTTTTTACACAATCAAACGCGGTTAACCCTTTTAAAACTGGTATGTGGGGTAGATTTACCCCAGACAATTTTTTACAATTAATAAAATTTATTTTTTTTTTTTTTCAACAATTTTTTTCAGTGTGTGTAATATTAAAAATTGTTAACTTGAATATTTTTCTTTGTAGTAAAAGGTTTGAAATATACTAGAAAAAATTTTCATAGCAAAATATCTAAAATTCTCTGATTTATTCGATGTTTTTTGGGCTGGGGTAGATTTACCCCACCGAGCAGTTACGTGGCTAAAATGAGGTGTGCAAGTTAAGGGTTAACTATAAAAATTATTAAAATGTTTAAAAAAATTGTTCTTTTATTTTTCCATTTTTTTAAGATTATGGGCATTTAAGAACAAAAAAGTGATTCTTCGATTTTTCAAATATTTAATCTACTAAAACAAAGAAACGACTCTATGGATTTAAGTTAAACTATGGAAGGTTCTTGTGGGTATATTGAACTGAAAAAAGCATACTTAATGTTATTCATTTTCAAGACACCGTTAATTTAACGGATGGTTTTCCAAAAATTCACCAAAAGCTCTTTTTTTTTGTTATTTCAAGTTTATGTAAAGCACGGAAAATATTTTTTATTGAAAAATGAAGAATGGCCGATTATTTTAGAGAATATATTCAAATTTGTGATAGCTTTAATTTTCTGTGTGATCATTTGGTTCTGAGATATCGATGATCAAAGACAAAATGATCCTTTTCCATTCAAACTCCGATATCTTTGGCTTTCCAAGTAGAACGGCTGAAATGCGGACTCGGGAGGATGGAAAGAATCTTGAACGGCCAATTTACAAAGTTTATCTTTTTATTCTAAATTTGAGATTTCGACAAGACGGAAGGGAGCTACAAAAATTGATCGAGAAAAGCGAAACTACGAATTTGCCGCGTGGAAATCGTAATAAATCAATTTCTAGTGGCGCGAGAGAACTTGCCGCGTGGCAATCGTAATCAGTTTATCGCGACGCGAGAGACTTGACTGCTCGGCGTCCAGGAAGAGAAGAAGGAGCAATTGCTCCGATCGGTAATGAGCTTGGTTTCCCCTCCAGCGCCTGAGTGCCCCCCTCAGCTACTTCCCCGCTGCTTGGCTGTCAGCGCTGCGGGCGGCGCAGGCGACCAAGTGGTGTGAGTAGCGGCCTCGTGCGAGACACCACAGCTACTCCCCCCTTAGAACCGACCGCGGTGAGCGGGTGGAAGTTGACCCTACGAAGGATGTTGGGCTGATGCCGTGGCCGGGCGGCGTCGTTATTGCTGAGGCAGGATCGACGGGTGGTAGCCGCTGGAGGTGGCAGAGGGTTGATGATTGGCTCCGTGACGAGCGCTTGCGAGCTTACGCTAGTCGATGGTGTCGCCTGTGGTTGCGCCATCGGCGTTGCGGGTGGCGAAGCTTCTGCTGGCGCTTGAAGTGAGCTCGGTGAAGGCACCTCGTCTGGAGGTACCGCTGGAGACTGCGGAGGCCCTGGGCGTGCATCTGAGGCTGGACGTGGCTCTGGCGCGTCAGCAGTGGCCTTGCTGAGGTACGCCGGTTTGAGAGCGTCGGTGGAGATCGCCCTTTCGGTGCCGTTGACGTCAATGATGTAGACCTTTTCATTGACGCGCCGAACGACCTTGTGTGGCCCGGTGTAAGGCGGCTCGAGTGGCTTCCGCAGGGCGTCGACTCGCTGAAACACGTGCGAGCAGGTGGCGAGATCCTTAAAGGTGAACGGTCGGTGAAGCGAGTGGTCCGTGGCAGGCGCAGGAGCTAGCGCTCTCATGGTTGCGCGCAGTCGACCAACGAAAGAGCAGGGATCGGCAGGCGGGTTACTGCAGATGAAGAAGTCTCCAGGAAGACGAAGCGTGGTGCCGAAGGTCATCTCCGCTGGAGAAGCTTGCAGGTCCTCTTTAAGAGAGTTGCGCAGGCCAAGAAGCACTAATGGCAATGCTTCAGGCCAAGGAATCGGAGAGCACCTTAATGCTGATTTAAGCGTACGGTGAAACCTTTCCACCATGCCATTCGCCTGGGGGTGATATGGCGTGGTGTGAATCCTGGAAGTTCCGGAGACCTGAGTCAGCTCCGCGAAGAGAGCGGACTCAAACTGGGTCCCTTGATCTGAGGTAATCGTGGCAGGGCAGCCCTTGCTAGCGATCCAGGTGGACAGGAAGGCTTTTGCGACGGTTGGCGCAGTCATGTCCTCGAGTGGGACTGCTTCGGGCCATCTGGTAAACCGGTCGATCATGGTCAGGCAGTACCGGTACTTCCCCACCAATGGTAGCGTGATCAGGTCCACGTGAACATGCTCGAACCTGTTGCTGGGCTCCTGGAAAGAGGCAAGCTGCGCGCGATTGTGTCGAGAGACCTTGGCGCACTGGCATAGAAGGCAACTGCGAGCCCAGTATGTGACATCGCGTCGTATGCCTGGCCACACAAAGCGCTCTGCGGCGGCGCGGACTGTGGCGCGAACTCCAGGATGGCTGAGACCGTGCACGGCGTTGAAGGCGGCAGTGCGGAGCGAGCGTGGCAGGAACGGTCGGACCCGTCCTTCGTGAACATTACATAGCAGCTCCACTTCGTTGAGGTGCAGGCGTTGGAGGTTCAAAGAACTGTTGTGAGCGATGCCCGGCAGCTCGTCGTCGCAAGCTTGCGCCTTGGCTATGTTCTCTGGGCTGAGTGCAGTCGGCATGTCGACCGTGGCGCAGGCGGCGTCTTGTACGCCTGAGGGCAAGGGAGAGGTGCACGGCTCGGTAGGAGCATCGAGCGGCGTGGCGTCCTCGAGCGTTCGGGACAAGGCGTCGGCCACGACGTTGTCCGAGCCGTTGACGTGCCGAAACTGGATGTCGAACTGCAACAGGAAGTCCAGCTGTCGTTGTTGGCGCGGGGACGCCTTTGCAGACGGTTGACTGACAGCGAAGGTCAGCGGGCGATGATCCGTCAGCACGATGAAGGAACGACCTTCCAAGATGCGCCGAAAATGCTGCACGGCTCGGAAGATGGCAAGTAGCTCTCGGTCGTAGGTGCTGTATCGGGCCTCAGCAGGCGTCAGCTTCTGTGAGAAGAAACCAATAGGTTGCCACTCTCCGTGGGGGCACTGTTCAAGGACAGCACCGACGGCGGAGTTCGATGCGTCCGTGGCGAGACGAAGAGGCGCGGTCGGCGACAAGAAGGTAGTCTCGACAGCCTTCGTTAGACTGCGTCGGGCGTCTTCAAAGGCCTGGTCAGCTCCTGGACTCCAGGCCAGGGATCGTCGGCTTCCCTTGGGTAAGCCCCGTAGGAGCTCGTTGAGTGGCGCTTGAATGTGCGCAGCGTGAGGCAGACTTCGTCGGTAGAAGTTGATGATGCCTAAGAACCGGCGCAAGGCTCTGAGCGACATGGGCTTGGCGTAGTCCCGAATTGCCTCAATCTTCCTTTCTGGCGGCTTGATACCGCCGGCAGAGACTTCGTATCCGAGGACCGTGACGCGTGGAAGTCCCAACTGGCATTTTTCCAGATTGTAGGAAAGTCCGGCTTCCCGTAGTCGGTCGAAAAGGAGACGTAAGTGCCGTTGGTGCTCCTCGTGAGAAGAGGATCGTACGAACAAGTCGTCGAGGTAGCTTCGCACGAACGGCAGGTCCCTCAGCAGCAAGTCCATAAACCGCTGGAAGGTTTGTGATGCATTCCTCAAGCCGGGAGGCATGCGCAGAAACTCGTACAGGCCGAACGGAGTCGTGATTGCAGTTTTTACAATGTCCTCATCAGCCATAGGTACCTGAAAATAAGCTTCTTGCAGGTCGACGACTGAGAAGATGGAGCATCCGTCGCATTCCTCCAGAAGGTCCTCAATGACCGGCAGTGGGTACCGGTCCGGCAGTGTGACGGCATTGAGGCGTCGAAAGTCGCCCGTGACTCGAAAGCCCCCAGTGGCCTTCGCCACGAGGTGCAAGGGGCTTGCCCAAGGACTCGAGGACGGCCGGATGACACGTTGTCGCAGAAGGCGCTCGATGGTGTCCTTGGCAGCAGTCAGGCGTTCGCCCGCCAGCCGGCGTGGGCGTTCAAAGACTGGGGGTCCGGTTGTGACGATGCGGTGCACTACAGTAGTGCCTTGAAGAGAGGCGCCCTTCTCCGAGGGCTTGGCGAGATCGGCGTATTCGACGATCAGGCCATCGTAGGCGGCCCGGTGCGGTAAGTCCGTAGTATCGGCAATGGCGGCTACTCCGTGAATGATGGCCTTCCGCAACTGTGCAGTGGACTCCTGGGCGGTGTTCGGGTCGAACAAGCACCGACGGCGCACATCCACCAGCAGTCCGGAGTGGCTAAGAAAATCCGCACCCAGGATAGGCACTGGCACGTCCGCGATTGTGAATGGCCACCGGAATTCACGCTGAAGGCCCAGCGTGATGGTGAGCAGTCGCCTACCATAGGTGGCGATTGGAGTCCCGTTCGCCGAGATGAGCTGCAAGCTGCCGCGTGTCAAGGGGCCAACGGCAAGGTGCCGTGGCAGTAAGGTCATAACTGACCCGGAGTCGACAAGCATGGCACAGCCGAGCGAGCTCTCGTGGACGTGCAGGCGAACGTCGGAAGGCGGTAGAGATGCGCTACCGTATACCGCCAAAACGTGCGGCAGCGCCTCTAGTTTGTCGACTGGTTGGCTGGGTAGCTGCATGGCGGTCGGCAGCGCTCAGCATTTGCCTGGTACTGCCGATGGTAATAGCACCACGACGAGTTGGCCGACGATGTTGCAGCTCCTCCGGTAGCTCTCGCGCCAGTCGAGCGGGCACGAGTGCGGGATCTCGCTCGTCCACCAGAGGCCGGGAGGCGGTCCAGGATGCGACCAGTTGTGATGACAAGCTGTGACACAGTGGCTCGCAAAGCCGCTAATTCGGCCGTTATGCTGTCGGGCGTAGACCGCACCGCCTCTGGCGCTGTAGGCACCGGCGGCGTTGGAGCGAGCCGTTGGACGGCACATATGTCCAGACTCGTCTCGGCTAGCTCATCAGCGGTCAAGGCCAGGTCGTCCAGCGTCGTGTTGCGCATAATCCGAAGCATTCGGGAAAGGGTAGTCGGCATCAGGTCCAGCCAACGCACGCGGATGGCATCATCGTTGATGGTCCCTCCAGCAAGGGTGCGCATGCGCCGGAGTAGCTGCGACGGCGTTCGATCCCCCATGGTAAGCCCGGAGAAGAACTTGTGCAAGCGCTGGGTTGCTGTGTCGCCGTAACGCCGAATGATCTGCTCCTTTAAATTATCGTACGCACCTGTGCTCGGCGGGTTTTGGAGCACATCAAGTGAGTCCTGTATCGTCTCGCTGTCGAGCCCGGCAACGGCGGCATGGTAACGCTGAAGGTCAGAGCGGATGTTGTGGCATTGGAACACCGACTCCAGTTGGGTAAACCATGCCTCAGGATTGCCCCTCAAGAACGGTGGAGTGCGTATCGCCACGTGGCGAATGAGCTCAACCCCGGCCGGGGCAGGCGGGTTCGGTCTTTCGCTCATGTTGCCAGGCTCGGCGGTCGCACCGCTGGAGAGGTTGAGCGGGGGAGAGTCCGGCATCGGTGGGCTCTCCTCTAGGCGCAATTGGCGCACGTCGCGTGACGCGGCCCTTAAATCACCGAGAGATCCCCGTCTCCCGGAGACCGGCGTTCTCTCCGTTTTTAGCGGCTTCGCACTCACAGGGAAGGCACAACTTCTCAGGTCGCGCACTCACGAGAGTACTTACGTGTCCCTGAACGAAAACGATTGTCTCTTCGGTTTTTGTAGTCTTGCCGAAATCACGTCGGGGTCACCAATTTGGCTTTCCAAGTAGAACGGCTGAAATGCGGACTCGGGAGGATGGAAAGAATCTTGAACGGCCAATTTACAAAGTTTATCTTTTTATTCTAAATTTGAGATTTCGACAAGACGGAAGGGAGCTACAAAAATTGATCGAGAAAAGCGAAACTACGAATTTGCCGCGTGGCAATCGTAATAAATCAATTTCTAGTGGCGCGAGAGAACTTGCCGCGTGGCAATCGTAATCAGTTTATCGCGACGCGAGAGACTTGACTGCTCGGCGTCCAGGAAGAGAAGAAGGAGCAATTGCTCCGATCGGTAATGAGCTTGGTTTCCCCTCCAGCGCCTGAGTGCCCCCCTCAGCTACTTCCCCGCTGCTTGGCTGTCAGCGCTGCGGGCGGCGCAGGCGACCAAGTGGTGTGAGTAGCGGCCTCGTGCGAGACACCACATATCTCTTAGACCAATCGTGGTATTGAATTCTACAACCTTCCAAATTAAAGTTGAATAATCAAGCTATCTGTTTCATATAATCTTTTACATAAAAACATTTTGTACGTGTCCGTGAACCAAAAAATAACCAAAAATATTTTCAAAAAGTTTTTCTCTCGATAATTGTTAGAGTTGTGCAAAGGACAAGGACTGAAAAATTTTTTTACTCTAAAATTTAAAAACTAGAGACTTCAAGTATCAATTAGTTTTTCCTAACTTTTTTATATAATCACTTTTAACGAAGATACAGTCATTTAAAGAATCACTAAAAAGTGGATATTTTTTTCTAATTGGCCCAGAGTGGCCAATTTTCTTTTGGTTACTCTTCCAAGCCACGCTTCCATCTGAGAGTCCTTTCAAGAGATAGCGACCCGGGCATAAATTCTCTTAATTTCCATTATAATACTACTATATTTTTATTTATGAAGTTTGAATGGAGTGTACTTTAATGATCAACAAAAACTAAACAGTCCTTCCAAACAATTACAACTCGTTTGATATTGCGCTTCTGTTAAATAATTAGTTATTATTAAATATCTTTCAGCATTCAAATTAATTCTGCTAGTTATTTATCTATTTTGAAAGGTTATAAATTAATGTCCATTAATTATTTCAAGTTAAAATTGCCCAAAAATTAAAATTGATTATTTAAATCTAATTAATTATAATTTCAGGTTTATTCTAATAATAAGTTCTATTAAAATTACTTATATTCTAACTCATGCTATTGAACGTATTTATTTTTATAATTTAAATGAATATTCTTGAATTATAAAATTATATTTAAAAATATTTATCTTCATTCTTATTGTACTCTTAAACTATTTATTCTATGAAGTTTCTCAAGAGAGCTTTTAAAGCTCAAGAGGCCATAATCTTACGTAAATTTTGATATTTCAATCAGCCATTTATACTTTCGATAATTTTTATTCTCATACTTAAATAGTGGAATTTTTCAGAGATTCTGTTCTCATCATCGAAATACAGAGACAGGATGCATTTTTATGGCCTTTATATTGCTCGCAACCCTAACAGATATGTAGGCGCACCCATGTATAAGGGTTAACATGTAGGCGAGTAGCTCATTTTTTGGATTAATAAGAAAAGAATAAAAAGAAAAATCAGGCGAAGTATGCCAGCCATTGCAATAGAAAGTGAAATAGGTTTTTTTATGAAGCGAATTTCTTCAAATGCATCAGTGCCTTGAAGTTTAAGTGATGACAACATGATGCCTTCAATTCCTGGACACGCTTTATATTCTTGAAAATAACATGCATTTGTGGGATTATTGCACATTAAAGCATATAATATATCTAATCCAAATCTGCATGACTATTCTCTCGAAATATCATTATCGCGCTTAAAAAAAATCAAAATTAACACAATGAATGCAAAGGCAAGTTGTTCATAGGACAAGTCATCACATGCTTTGGCTTCAAAGTATAAAACTTTGACCTTTCAAATTTCAAATGTGGATTTTGTTGCAGGTATAGCGAGTATACTTCATTAATAGTTCGAATCATGTAACGTTTGACTTTTTTTTCGTTTTTATCGTCGACCTTGATAGTTATGACGTCGTTTTTATTTGAGCTATAAATAGAGCAATTCAAATCGTTATTTAAAAAATATTTTGTAGCTATTTATTTATTGGATTGCCTACATACATGTCTGGTTTAGTATGAACCTCTTTCTGAGTCACAACTGTCTAAGCTTTTTCTCGTATGTGCTTAGTAATTTCAGGTGTGAGGTATAATATATTATTTTTTGAGTAGGATGATGGTAGCAATGATAATAAACGAATTTCTTCCAAATAAGATAAACGCTCTTTGAGAGCTATTCTACAATTTTCGATCCAGTAACTGTCGAGTAATTTTTCTTGTACAAAGGTATTTTTGGTATCGTTCATATCGTATAACTTTCTTAATTTTACTTTCGTTGCTTCTGAAAAAGTTAAAGCTATTTCATCTGTTTTTCTGTCTACATATGATACTAAATATAACTACAGAAATTCTGCATCATTTAATGATTGTTTGCTCTTATTATTGTAATAAAGTTATCAGCGACACTTTTAATATAGGTATGATTATCTTCAACTGTTTCTCTTGTCGCTGCTATTTTTTATATACGTTTATAGCAGTTGAAACAAACACTATCTGATTCCAAACATTTTTTTTCTGAATATTTAGATTGAAGTAATACTGCCAAGTACCCTAATTCTCTTAAGAGTTTTTTTTTTTTTTTTATTTTTAACGTCGCTCTATTTATGCTTCATCAGTGCTAATCAGCGACGGAGGCTTGCAATGTGTTTGAGAACAAAGCACATGAAACTTTTTTCAGTGGTGCTTGTATCAATCAGCAGGAACTGGGAATCGAACCCGGGCCTACCGGGTGCGAGTCCGTCGCCCTACCGACCGAGCCTTGCAGGCCTCCTCTTAAGAGTATGTTACTACTTTTGTATGTGGTTTTTGTATGGACATCTAAAAAATCCGGATATTTTACTCGCTTTGTACAGTAAATATTCATCTTAAATAGTATCTAATTAAAGAATAAAGTTTGACTGTCAAATTATATCAGAACTTTTACAAGCTGTTTATTCTCTCGTACGAAATGAAATGTTAACTATACTTATAAATTTTTTCAGTTTAGGCGCCCGTAAGCAGCTTTTTACGTGCAGAGCATGCTCAGCGTAGAAAGTTGTTCAGTACAGCGGAGGGGCATCCTGGGCTGCATTGACTCAATACAGCCTAGGACACTGGGCTGTATTGAGTCAATGCAGCCCAGGACCCTGGCTCCCTCTACGTGACAGCACTTAATACGTCGGAGGACTAGTACGAAAAACTTCCATGTAGAGGGCTCTGCATGGAAGTTTTTCCGTGCTGCGGAAAAGTATAGTCTCCGCCTTCAAAAAGTGAGAGGGGATTGTCTAACGTGTCCGAACTTGAAAATCGAGAAAAGTAAAAAGTGCCGGTATTAGTAAAAACTGCAATGTAACTTTTAATAATTAATATATTGATTCTTTTAATTAGTTACAAATATTTTAATTTTATTAAATTTTTATTAATTATTAATTATTAAAACTAAGAAAAAATTATCTAATTATTTTTTTATTTATATATGTAAAAAATATAAAAGTTATAAATAAATATATAAAATATAATTGAAATGTTTACAATATTTATTTATATCACAACCGGCTAACGGTAAAAATCAGTTTACGGGCGCCAAAATTGAAAAATTGTTAACGCACTTCGGGCTATTTCACGTCGTATTACGTCTCGGGACTTTTTGAAGGAGAGGGGGGCAGTGGAGCGTCCGAGGCCGCGCAGCGATCATCTTCGTATCGAGGGTTACACCAAGGTACTTGACTTCCCTCTTGGTCTCCATCTCGTATGTCTCCACCCTCATGTGTAGTATCGTCTGTATGCGTCTTCTCGTGAGATGCGTTAGTTCCGTCTTTTCTGTCGCGAGTTGCAGTCCGTGGTCTGTTATCCATCGTTAAACTCGTCTCATGGTCTGGTTTAACGTCAGCTGCGTCAACTCGCGGGATCTCTCCGTAATGACCACCGCCACGTCATCAGCGTAGACGACGAGGGTCACTCCGAGTGGCATCCCAACCCGAAGCAAGCTATCGTACAAACCATTCCAGAAGTCAGGTAATTCTCTAAAGAGTATGTTACTAATTTTGTATTTTTTGGGATAAGGTCCCAGTATGGGTTCCTGAGCCACCCCAGCGGTGTCCTATCTCGTTACCTGCCCTTCGATCGTCTCGTACTTCATCCGCCTGTTTTTCAGGTAATCCTCCACAACCCGGACCAAATATGGTGGGATCTTGAAGTTGCTTTTCATCACCTCCAAGATATCCCCTAACCTGGCCGAGTTAAAAGCATTCCTAATGTTGAGCGTCGCCAGTAACACTATAGGTCGCGCTGCATGGCAGTGTCTGTCTAGTTGCAGGAAGGAGTCGACCACCTTTTGGATCGCACCAATCGTCGATCGACCCCTCCTGAAACCGAACTGCAAGTTTAAGAAACCCCCTCCGGCTTGAATCGCATCCATCAATCTCGGTCTTAGTCATTGTTCAAAGAGGTTACCAGTCGTGTCAAGTAAACTCAACGGTCGGTAGGTCGAAGGCGTGCCAGGATCGCTCCTACCTTTTGGGATAAGGACGAACCTTGCCTCATTCTACCGGTTGCTGAACATTTCTGTTATCAAGCACGTATTGTACAGGTCGAGAAGTATCGTCAGCCGTAGACGAGCCAGAAGTCGGATAATCTCGGCCGCTACTCCGTGTG